GTTGTCTGATTCAAAATGGCCAAAACCAGTCCATTTCAGCTCAGTAATACCTAGGATATCGATCTTTATGTGTTCCATTTCACTTTTGACAACTTCCAATTTCCCTAGATTCATACTTCGTACATTCCACGTTCCAATTATTAATGGATGTTTTTATCTGTTTCTGCTCATTTGGAGTCGTGCCACATCAGCCAGTGGAGGTCCCAAAAGCTTTACTTTGTCCACATCATTAAGGTCATCTCTACTCTGAGGAGTCAGCTCTTGCCCAGTCAAATTTTGAGTGCCTTCCAACTTGATGGGCTCATCTTTCGGCACTATGTCAGTCAGTGTTTCAGGGCTATTCATAAAGTTCTCCAGTGATACATCAGACAGTGTTTCACTGCTATTCATAAGGTTTTCACTGGCCAATTCTTTGAGAAGTGGATAGTCTGTTCCTTCTTCAGTAACTGTCTGAGCCCAGAAGCTCCACTGAACCTCTCCACCATGGGCAACCCTGCTGGCATTTTGCAATGTGGTAGCATAGCCTCCAGGTTCATAGGAACATGTAAGCCACCACAGGATGATGAACTGGCAGGCAAGTTTGTCTCCCTTAGTTGTTCCTAACCACTCTCCACCTGTCTACATCAGGCCCTGGCCTTAATGTAGATCCATACCCAAGTGAAAAGCAGCCTCTAAGCCCTAGGCCTGCCTACCTCAAGCCCTGACCTTAATATTGAGCCATATCCAAGCAAAAAGCAGCCTCCAAGCCCCTTGCCTGTTGGCCTCAGGTCCTGGCCTTAATAAAGAACCATACCCAAAGCCTCCAAGCCCTGGGCCTACCTACCTTAGGCGCCTGCTTTGATATAGAGCCACACCCAAAAGAAAAGCAACCTCCAAGCCCCTGGCCTGCCTACCTCAGGCCCTGGCCTTAAGAAAGAGCCACTGCCAAGTGAAAAGCAGCCTCCGAGCCCACAGCCTGCCTACCTCAGGCCCCAGCCTTAATATAGAGCCAAGCCTAAGTAAAAAGCAGCCACCAAGTCCCCAGTCTGCTTAACCTCGGTCCCTTGCCTTAATATCGAGCCACCACCAAGACCTCAAAATCAGGAAATATGTTACTTTCATCTTATATTCAGACCTCATTCAAGTTTTGCCATTTGTCCACATATCTCTAATAGCAAATGGATTCAGTTCAGAATCACACATTACACATAGTTACTTAGTTGCTTTCAAAACAAAACAAAAAAACTCACTGCTTTTGAGTCCATTCTGACTCATAGTGGCCCCTCCTTGGGTTTCTGAGGCTGTATCTCTATCGAAGTGGATTGCCCAGTGTTCCTTCTCAGGAGTGACTGGTGAGTTTGAACCACCAGCCTTCTGGTTAGCATTCAAATGCCTTAGGCACTATGCTGCAGTTGCCATGTCTCTTTTAATCTCTTTCAATCTGGAAGAGTTCCTCAGTTTTCCTTGTCTCTCGTGATCCTGACACTTTTGAATATTGTTGTTGTTATTGGGTGTGTCTGTTCTGACTTGAAGTGACTCCATGTGATAGAGTAAAACTGCCACTTAGTTTCCTTGGCTGTAACATTGTGGGAGCGGATTTCTAGTTCTTTCTCCTGCAGAGCTGCTGGGTGGGTTCAAACCACTAACTTTCGGTTAGTGGCTGAGCACTTAACTGTTGCACCACCAGGGCTTTTTGAAGATTAATTCACTGCCATTAAGTTGATCCTGACTCCTAGTGACCCAATAGGGCAGAGCAGAACTGTTCCATGGAGTTTCCAAGGCAGAATATAATTTTTATGGAAGCAGACTGTCACATCTTTATTCTGCAGAGTGGCTGATGGGTTCCAACTGTTGGCCTTCTGGTTAGCAGCCAGGCACTTAACCAACTGCCAGAAGGGGTCCTTTCCTTGAAGATTACAACTCAGTTATTTGGTAGACTATACCTCCGTTTGGGTTCATTCTCGAGTTTCTACAGGATTAGATTCAGATTATGCATACTTCATTGGAATGCTGATCTCAGAAACGAGAAGACAAAAATCTGCCCCGGGACTTTCATGTTACAGTGGCCTGATCTAAATGCAGTGTAGACTGGTTTCCTTGATAATAAGTCTGCCGCTAGTTTTCTGAGACTCTAGGGCCATTATTGAAGAGAAACAGAGAGATTCTCAGTCATTTTTGTTTCTTTCGTCAATAAGAAATAATATATATATATATTTTTTAATTACTAGCAAGCCAGAAGAAGGAGGTATGCCCACGGATATTTCTATAACTTCGTCCTCACTTCAAATGAAAACTCCCGAAGGCTGCACGGAGATCTATCTTCCAGCAGAGGTCAGGCTTGTACCTTCCTCTTGCCGCGGGCTGCAGTATGTGGCTGGAGATGGACTACACCTGCGGCTGCAGACGCAGGCCGAATTAAGCACAAGTGAGTAGTATTAGCAACTTCTGTTTCTGCATTTGTTTTTTCATTATAAATTAAAGGTGATTTTCCTTTGAAAAATTAAACTTCTCCCATGTGAAAATAACTCTTCTTCAGTGGCATGAGAAGAGCTGAGGATCTTGATCTAGTTTTTTTTTTTTTTTTTTGCTGGGTCTTCCTTCACAAGCTGTGTGCAGTTGAAGATATCACTTAACCTTTTTGAGTCTTCCTTTCTTTAATTGTAAAATTAGCTGTCTCACAGAGTTGATGTGAACGTTAAATCAGATGGTAATTGTGCAAGACCTAACTGATTTTTATTTTCATTTTTTTAAAAATTAAAACTAATGTTTTATTGTTTTTCATAATCAGATGGTAGATGGACATATCAGCTTTCATACATGATCCTTTTTTGTAAATAAAAAATTTACAAATTAGGCTCTTTTTTTTTTTTTTCTCACTTTTATTGTTGTGAAAACATACAGAACAAGTCATTTGTCAACGTAACAACTTCCACATTTACAGCTCAGGGACATTGATTACAGTTTTCATGTTGTGTGACCAAAAAATTAGGCTTTAAACAGCCAATAGCTGATTATGTTTTCAAAAAACATAGTAAAGTTTTTCCTTATGAGCACTAGAAAATTGACCCACCTTTTGTCTCTTTTTATAAAACTCAAATTTTGGTGTGCATTTGACTTCATATTCTGAAACAACATGACCTGACTGATTTTTAAAACATTTAGAAATTCATTCATTCAACAGGTTTTTAGTCCATAATGTGTGCTAGGTGGAGTCCCTGGGAAGTACAAACAGATGGTTAATGTGCTTCTCTGTGAACAGAAAGATTGGAGGGTCAGATCTACCCAGAAACTCCTTGGAAGAAAGACCTGATGGTCTACTTCTGAAAACTTGACAGAGCACAGTTCTTTTCTGACACATGAGGTTACCATAAGTCACAATCAAGTGGAGGGCAACTCTCTGTTCTTTTTTCCAATGGGCTAGGTACTGATCTAGGTAATAGAGATAAAGAAGTGAATGAGTTAGGCAAAGTCTCTTCTTCTCTCATGGAGTTTGCATTCTAATGGGAGCAGATAATTAACAAATAATCTAATTACATGCCCAGATAAGTGCTGTGGACCAAGTAAAGCAGGATAACAGGACAGAGAGTAGGCTGGGGTGAAGGGTAGTCAGGGAGGCTTCTCTGAGGGTTCTGAGTGTTCTTTATCAAAGAACTGAATAATGAAAATGACCCCATCCATGTAGAAAAAACAATACATATAAAAGTCTTTGGTAGAACTGAGTATGATACATGATTTGATTTTGATGGTTGCTATGCCTGTTACATTTCAAATATTTTGGTATTGTTACGTTGATTCAGTGAAGCAGCAGAAAATTTTCTTTTGTCAAGACCTCAGGATTATTGAATAAAATTATTCATTGCTTCTCTTGCAATGTACATAATGTTTTATGGAACTAAAAGTCATTTGAAAAGGGGAAACAGTCTGTAACAAACTAGTATGATGCTCATCAAAGAAGAATTACAAGTCTTTCAGCTGCACCCTGAGACTTCAATATTGCCTCCTCTGTAACTAAACCCTAGGAGCTCTAGAAGCATAGTGCCTAAGGCACTTGACTGCTAACTAGAAGGCTGGTGGTT